ACTTCAGGGAAGAGTAGTTTTGGCTGTCTGACTCCTAGTCCTTTGATCAACCACTAAACATACAACGCACACTATGCTGATGGCGTGGCCTGGTATAAGCGTTATTTGATAGGCTTCTCAGTCACGCTGAACTCTGACAACTTCCGGCTCGGATTTAACATGAGGAAGAAGGACGTATGCGGAAGGAGCTGAGGCTAACAAACTGCAAAACAGCAAGCTCTTGTCTCGATATCAGAGTATTATAAAGGGTGCTGGGTTCGAATAACATCTGCTCCACATCTGGGATATGACGGGCTGGGTATGACTGGCTGATGACGACCAATAAACTAGAAATTATCATTCTAGTCTCCCTTGTCTTTGTCGGCACTGTTCCTATATATATACTACTAGCCGCTGTGCGGCTGGTCGCGGGACTTTAAACTGAGCCCCAAAGTAGAGCAGGTGGAACGCGTAACAAAACTGATCAAAACACATTAGCCCACCTATCCACAGTATGACGAGTGCCGCATGCAAAAAAGCTTAAGTTTCTAAAAATGTGATTATTACTCGCATACCGGTGTGAAAGCATTTACTAAAACTTAAAAATAATAATAAGCAGCATTCGGCATATTATGTACTTAAAAGAAGTATACGAAGTACTAAGTGTTTGGTAAAAATTAAATTTTCCCGATACTGCCCAAGTTCCAGCGACGTAAACAAGAGCTATAAATCAGAACAGTACATTTATATCTTCTCGTAAGTTGAAAAGGAAATGTAACCAATTTCTTTATACAAGAAGAACTTTACTGTAGTCATTTTTATACATATTGCCATTAATGGATAACTATTTATATAATATCTCCCGTTAAATTCTGGCATAATTTCCAAAAAAACAAGTTTTTAGATATTAGTTCTTATGAAGATGGCCATATTGATCATATTTAGAAATATCTCAAAACAGCAAACCACATTGGCGAGCATACCGAACGTTCGCAAGATAACTCGATAATTGTTATTCCTAAAAAACTTTCCGCAATAAGTAATCTAATTAAAAAGTGCCTTGATTGGATATTTAGCTGACAAATTTTTGTGTATATTACCTTTTTCCAAAATAATATCAAAATAAAAGTGGAGAATCTTGACAACTCTTTACATTTACCTGAAAATAAACGAGTCAATTTCAATGGAGATGAAAGAATTTATTTTTACCTTTATAATTAATTATTTTCCGCCATAGTTGATTACTTTCGGGCTCTGCTATAAGCTTGCGATTGCAAAAAAAGAGGGTGTTTCTAAATAACACATAGGCGGAACGTATAATTTTAAAAAAGTCTATTTCTATATGAACCACATTGAATAAGGCCTGTTTTATATTACCTCCACGGTAACATACATAGACACTTTGCTTATTCGTTCATAGTTATCGGTACGGTTCAACAAATTTTGTCATACAAATGTATTACTGTATTTTGTGATAGAAAACTTCCCCGAATAGCATAAAATAATCTTTAAATTGGAATTTGCCCTTCTTTCCGAAAATAAATGCGATTCCTTAAACTTGAACTAACTTCCATCTGAACAATTTCGGACAACCTTTTCCGGTTCTGGAAGGGATATTTGTAATAATTTTTCTACTTATTGTGGGGATGTTCGATAGCACATTGCATATTCATCAAACATTTGCTTCTGTCGTACTTAATAGCATAGGAACTTCCTTCGACCTTATACTTCTCTCAATTTCGTCACAATGAATGCCCATAATCCCTAAAAAACTTAACTAAAACGGAACATTTTCCTAACTAAAAGGCTTTCGCAGGATTACGTCTACTCAATGCATCAAAATAACTTGAACAAATATATGCTAAACTTAAAAGTCAAATTTCGTCACACTGTATATATCCCTTTTTTCTTCTGCTAACGCATGTTTACGAAAATGGGAGAAGGTAAATAAGAACACATTCAAAGTAACTAACATCTGACAACGTAACTGTTTACGGATTCCAGGAAATATGGCGGGTACACCCTGTTATTCCGAAAAGTTAACTTTGATCTCTAGTTGTATTGCTTTGTTTGCACATAAGATGCGGCGAAGCCCTCCCCTCCCCCCTAAGGCCTCCCTTTTTATCTCTCGACCCAGTTTTTAGATCAGCCACAAAGTTTTATTGTGGAGACATCTACAGCTGCACCGGCCATAAACTCTGCCATTGGGTTGTTTGCTTACCAATCGCTCGCAAATCCTTCATAAATTCAAAGTGGTTCCGCATAACCTGCTCCTGCCTTTGGTTGGTTTTCCCATCCTTCCTATAACGCATTCGTTTTGACAGTTGTGTAGCCTGGATTCCACTCGGCAAAATTTGCGCTCAATGAGGTTGGTACCATGGACCCCAACATATGTTACTTTCTCTCATGTAAACCTTGCTCTGAGACAATTCAGTCACAAAAGCAACAGATGCGGCCGTCGTGGGCTGCAAATAAGCACCATTTATCGGCAATTTTCTGCGATCGTTTTCTGACAAAAAGGATTAAGTCGTTTACAGAGTATGAAAATAGGGCGTTTTAAAGTTCGAAGTTAGAGAATAGTATAAAGGTGGAAAGTATAGAAGAGATTCAAGGGCGGGAAAGGACCAGCAGGGGTGGCATGCCCATTACTTGTTTATGGGCGGTAAAAATAAGCCCAAATGTGATTAAATTTACGGTGAGGCTTGTAGCTTCCCCGTTGTGTGAGTTCGACGTCTACCGAGGCCACGAGGTTTTGACAATTGGGGCAACTGAATTAAGCAAATCCTCTTACCCCTCCCCCCTAACAGTTAAGTGAGCCTAGTATTCATTCTGGTGGATTCTAGATGATTTGTTAGGAACTCTGGCTGGGGCAGTCAGCTTGCTGTTCCGTAATGATAGATACCATACGAATAGTAAGTTGTTCAGGAGAAATCGATCAAAGTGTGATTAAATTCACGGCTCACGGTGGGCCTCGTAGCTCAATGGTAGAGCGTTGGCTACGCGAATGTCTGCCCCGCTGTTTGGGTTCGACTCCCACCAAGGCCACGCATTTTTCACAACTGAGTCAAATGCATTAAGAAAATCTGTCAACCTCCCTAACAGTTGATAGGGCAGCCGACCTTTGGTGTATTTGCCTCGTTCTCTTCTGGCATATCCACAAATCTCCGACAATTCGACAGTCACGCCTATTAAATTACAGTAGATTCTTTCCTCTTTCCCACCAGAGCCCAATATTATGACCAAGTCAAGAGGCGAGAAGTAGCGCAGACGGCTGGCGCGGCCGGAAACCGTTTCCAATTGTGCCACCAAATCCCCTAGACCCACCTCCGCTCTTTATGAAATTGAACACGGTTGACGGGGGGGGGAGATTGAAGGAAGTCTACTGCCAGTTCAAGAGGACATGACTCAATTGATTATGGCATCCTGTTTTCAGTGTGGTGTCACGTCTAAAAGAGACAGTTTAGTTCGGAAGTTTGTGGTTTAAAACGGGTCAGTTGTGTTTGGCCGGAGCTGTTGTCAAACTAAGGTCCCATTCTGGTGCCTCTCATCAATTTCTTTAATCTAAGGGGATATTATTGCAAAATAGGCATTTTTCTGATATCGCAAAGTTAAACTACTTCGGTTACTATCACAGAATACTCTGAACTACCTGGCGCGTCTATCAATGAAGCCTCCTGTAACTGCCCTCAGTAGCGACTGCCTGCAATATCAACAAACTGAAGAATTCGATAAGCAAAACAGCCGATGGCCATGCAGCGACATAGACGGTTACCGTTCTGACGTGCCGGTCTACAACAAGACGTCACAAACAGTTAGCTGCCATCGAGCTGAACTTCACACACCAAAAAACGTGAAACCAAAAACTGGCGGGCCAATCTGAATCCAGGTAACACACAGGAAACTATTTATCCATGAAACCGTCTCATGGGAGCCTTATTTGGCCAGCCAATGCTTAGCCAGGCTGCCGGGCTATCGAAGAAATGCGACCTGCACGTTCTGGCTAGGCCATCGAAAAGAGGCAACTTGTGACTCTACGGTTGCCGCTTCAAACGGGTCGGGCTGCTTGGTTAAACTGGGTTTACGCCCCACTGTCACAGTGATCGTGAAATGCGCATTATAGCGCAGTTTACTCGAATTTTCACTTTCATTCCCCCATCACGTGCCGTGATTGACTGTTCAGTGATCGGGGCGTCAACAATTGCTCCAACAGGAAGAAAAACTGCCATAAAACTGGGGCTAGCATACAACGGGGGCGAAAAAGCACATGAGAGCTGGGCTATTAATTTAAAATCCAAAGGTTGGCTGATCTCCTGATCACTGGAGAAGACAGAAAACAATAAAGCCACCATTTCGTAGGAACAAGCATTTGGAGGGTAAAACTCGGCTGCTCTGAAGGGTATTACTGTAGTGTTCATGTTCTGTTATGGCTCTTAAAGCGTCAGGTTTCGTTTCAAGCCACGTAATAATTTAGATGCGCTGTCTCTAAGCGTGATTTCTAGATGATATGGTCTTGTCACGTGCTTAGAATCCAGAAAGCCTCTGTGTTTTTCAATGAAGTTTACTGCACCAGAGCAGTGGGGATAGGAACGTGAGACCTTTCACAAAAAGAAGACGAAAAAGGTTTCATAAGTATCCAAGTTAATTTAATTAAGAATCGGAAATAGCTCCCAGCCACATTTCTGCTTTTGATGAACACATATTGCGAAATGTCTAATACCCTGCAGCCATCGAGGTACGATGATCGACAACCTACTGGTTGGCTTATCAAACCACAGGGAAGAAAGTTGGGCAAAAAATAGTTAACTAGGCAGAGAAGCACGCGAGCACTCGTGACATGTAGGTATCCGCCGAAGTGCATGCGCCCGAAATTGTGACTAGATGGTGAGACTTTAAACAGGTGGATCTGTTTGGTTAAACCGACTTCATGCTCCAAGGTCACAGTGGTCGTGATATATGCATGATACCGCAATCAACTTAATTTTGCTCTTTACTTCGCCCATTACGTGGTTCTCCTGAATGCAATGTGCTACAGTCGACTAAACCTGATCCGACAAGATAAAAACCTCCCATCAAACGTTCACTGGCGTACGACTGTGGGTCAACAGCCCAAAAACGAATTGGCTGCCACTTTACACGCCGAAGTTTGGCTCATCTCCGGACCATTGGACAAGGCAGCATACGAAAAGGCCCACCGTGGCGTAAGCAGAAACATTTGGAGGGAAAACCCGACTGCTCCAAAGGGCTTTACTGACGTGCCCGTGGTCTGTAATGACCTTAAAGTTGTCAAGGCCCGTCTAACCACTGTTTGACGCCCATCTTCGAATTATCATGCCCTGTCTTAGAACGCTTCTTGCTATTCCAAATGGCCGTTTCGTGTGTGTAAATTCAGTGGGCATTTGGCGTTGTCGATAATCCTTAATAAACCAGAGCATGAGTATGACCATTAGTATGACCCATGAGTCCATGAGTATGACCCTTTAAAA